TTCTGGTTTCTTAACAGACTTGGCAATGGCAGGCGTGAGATCTTTGTCCAGAGGTGGACTGAATGATGGAGTCATCTGTATCCGGTAACGGGAAGAACAATGAATTTCATTGTTTGTAGCAATGTTATGCTAAAGGTATAGTATCTGTCCTTCAAAAAAAAAAAAGAGTACAGTATTTGGGCTTGCATTGGAGGCCACATGAATCCATTGACATAGGTCGGAAGGAAGTAGGATTATCTTCTAGTAGGCCGTAAGATACACTCCGACACTTGAGATTGTTTGATGGTGGGCTATTGAAACAAAACAGCAGCATATTGTGGAGGTGAACGTTGATGGTGGGCTAGAGAAACAAAACAATCAAGATCAACACGAGGACAAGGCCCAAACAAATAGATCTAAGAAGGTTGCACTTGAGATTGTTTGCCTACACGGCCATTTAACCCGTTTGCATGCCGTGTAAACGCTACACAGTAGCTGTCGTATCCGTTTAATCAGCCGTCTAATCCATTTCAATGGTCGTTTAGCCCGAATAATAAATAGCTAAACGATAGGTGGCATTTAAGTCCATTTAAATGTGTAGCCTAACACTAGTTGATAAGCGTCCCGAGGTTGCAAAAGAATGGACTGAAGTCAACCCAAACTTTAAATATGGTCGACCAATATTAACTGAGGACAAGCTTTAGAATAAGGAAACTGCTATAGTTGCCCTCCACAAATACGGAGTACTACATGCACTACATAAAAAACGATTTTAGTGACGGGACAAATTTTTTTTTTTAGGGACGGCTGGTGATGGAGCCGCCCCTACAGTGACGTGCTCGGGAGCCCAAACACCAGCCGCCCCTACAAATGGAACAGCAGGGATGGCTGATGATACGATGTTTAAGAAAGCAGAAGGAAATAATGGTCACGTTCAAACGCATCCATCTCATGTGCCCAACAGAGGAGGACATCCCTGTGGGGTTCAATGATCTATATGATGGTTTTGCATGGGTTGGATGTGTTGATCATTTGCATCTTCACCCTGTAAGTTCTACTCGCTTCCCTCGCATCATCGTTAACAATTGTTGTTTGTTTTGAGTTGCATAGGTAATAATGATTCAATAATATATTATTATAATAGTAGTGGTAGAATCATATTTTTACTTCCTGGATCCTGATTATTGGTTCAATAAATATAAATTTGCATTTGAAAAATTACTTACAGTTTGGAATGCACCTCACTGCCTTCTCTCGACTCTCTGTGGTGTCAAACAAATATTGAGGGGCTATTTGGGATGCATGAATTTCATAGGATTTTCATAGGAACCAGTTCAGTTTTACCAGAAAAACACAGAAACAGAGAAGAAATCCCATGTTCGTGTCTTTTCTAACAATCACAACGCTAGCTGTGGATATATATGATCCTGTCTAAAGATCGGCAAGATGTTCAAAAATCAACAAAACACAGAAAATGCTATGAAATGTTGAATAGTACGTATATATATGTTTGCAAGAGGGTGCAACTATTCCTTGCCATGGCCCTCGATCTGGATATTATATATATTATATTATATAATATAGGATGGTGCATGCGCAATCTTGTGTTCCTCTTGTTGACTTGTTTATTGTCCCCAATGGCAATGGGGAATGTGACTGATAATGATAAAAGGCGATCGAGGAGCCCATATCAGGAGGCTGTGGTTGCAAAGGTATCCGCGCGCAGAAAGGAGAGGCAGGCAGCGAAAGCTTCCTGCTTATTGAGACCTTAACCATGACGGCAGGCACAGCCATCGCCATCATGAGATTAGGAGAGAGAATGGATAGCTAGCTGTTTCCATCACGCCCTTATTGCGTCGTGAACTCGACGTGTTCTTCATTTGTATAGGTGCATATATATAGAATGCCTAAATCCGATCACGATCAGATATGCAGCCTTCGTCTTATCATTATATACTTCTACAATTGAACTCAGTGACAGAACATATCATTGCATCGGCACCACCGGCAAATCATTTCGCCAGACAGACAAATCAAAGGTCGTATTTTACAGTAAGGACCAAGCATCAGCTATACCTGTACTGTACGTATTGCATACAGTTTTTGCATGTTATCATCTTTGTCCATAATGCTACATCCTGTGTTTCCTAGCCTAGCTACTTGAAAGAATGGAAGCATTTTCATATCGTCAGGAGGTCAGGTGTCGCTGCCTGTCTGTAAACACGTTGAACAGCAAAAACAACTGATGAGATGCCTGCGTACGAACTTTGCTTGACAAGTGCAAAATACCTTTCCTGGGCGGCAAGAGATCGAAGAGATCAACCAAGCCGTAAAGCACATATGTAGCTACCTTTTGTCTCGTGAGGTCAGGCGAGTTCATTGACCTGCAATGCAAGGCTCCGGCCGGATCAGCTTGTTTTCTTTGCATTTGCAGCATGCAATTGAGGACTTACCTGTACTATTTACTGTTCATCTCCGGCTGTACGTTGGGTTGGAATTAACTTTATCACTAGTAGTTTGAGTTTTTAACGAGATGTTGGCAGGCATCCGATGTATGTAATGCATGGTCTGTGGTCCTAAGTCCGAGCTATACTACTACTTTAAAGGTCGATCATAATCCTCACTCAAGAAACGGCCGGCACACAGTGCAGTGGTCCTCATCATCAGAGATGCAGACATCTGTGCGTCTATATATCTCTTCCTGCAGTAAATAAAATTAGATTAAAGGTGAGACAAAGATTTCGATATATATTTTTCAGCTGAGAATTTTCTGGGTCAGCTGGATATATTATATAATCATGCTAATCCAGAGGAATTGAGGAAGTCATGGATTAGCTGGCCGGATTATATTATTGGACATGCTGATGCAGGAACATGTACTCCTACTAGCTAACTAGCTAGCTTGTGTCGTGTGGAGACTGTCTATGATATGATGTAGCTCGATCATGCCTTTAATTTGCTAGGATGAGGCATGTCACCACATAGAAAAAGAAAAATCATGCCTGCATGTGCGTGGTGAGGGGCAACGCCCATGTGATGTGATCACACCAAATGATTCAACTCTAGACAAATGCATATATGTTGTATGCACTAGATATACAGGAGTGTGTAATACTTAATTGGTACACAAATCTTGAAGCTTTCAAAAGTGTTGGATATATATGGATAGAACAAAGAGGGCCAAGTAATGTGTGATGCTTGACTAAAATACTACAACCAGTTGATGCAAGGAGATTTGTTTAAGATTACAGTACTACTACCTTCTAGCTAGGACAAAACAAGAATGATATATATATATCAACCAAATAACGACAGCACTACAAGAGTTTTTTTGTGTGTGTGACTGAGCACTACTACAAGAGTTTATCGAGGTTGCAAAAATTGTGAGCAGAGTCTCACTCTAACCGATGAAATGAAAATTTATTTGTCAAAGTTGAAGTGCAAGCTAGCTAGTAGCCATTCACTATCACCAGTTCATGGTAAAAACGCTACCTTTCGTCCTGAAACTTGTAAATTTGAATACTTTCACCGCTTAGGGTCAGATTATTCAGCATGTTCGTTTATTGGTTTTAGCCAGGCTTATTCAACCAGCCAATAATATTTTCTTCTCACAAAAAACCAGCACCAGCACCGACCAGCAAACAGGGTGATTATCAATAATCATGGCATAACCGGTACTACTACGTTTGTACCAACTCTCAACCTGTTCGTTTGGTCGTATTTGGCTTATAAGCCATGATTTATCAGCCAACGAATAGTATTTTTCTCTCACACCAAACCAGTCAACAGTACTTTCAGCCATGGCTTATAAGTCAAACCAGCTCAAACGAAGAGGACGTCTGAATCTCAAACGAACAGGACGTCTGAATGGATCTGAAATGCAGATTATGGACCACATGCATGCCCAACTAATGCGAGAGTAGTCCTAACAATTAATGGACCTAGCAACTAATTGCATGGGCAAATGACTCGCAGCTAGCTACATGCATGATGTACGAGTGACCACCTCATTATTTTGACAGTCGTCCAACAAGCAAGTTGTCACTGCAAATCTGTGGCTTCCAATTGTTCCTCAAATAGGTACTGACGACAGGGGACGAAAATTGCTCATATAATCCAAGGTCGGTGTCAAACTGTCATATCACAGATGATGAGGACGCACAAACAGAAACCACATCCCCGGCCGTGTTGTTCACTGGTAGGTACGGGTGCATGCATGCATGTATATGTGTACCGCAACTTCATCATTTCCATGCCATCCCAACGACCCTAACTCGGAAAACAAAACGACCCCTTATATAGCTGCATCATGCAATTTAAATGAAAGAAAATATATAAGTAGCATCTTTTTTTATATATAAAAAAAGTTTGTATATGCACCGCCGTTGCATGGGCTAAACAAAATTTATCCTATTGTATGTAGCAATTAAAGAGCGCACTATATATGCATATATAAACCTGACGGTGAAAAATACAATGGATTGGTGAAGGCACGTCACAATCATATCTATTGCGCAGGTTTGTTGTACATTACACGAGACAATGGACTATGTTTACAAACCCTAAAGGAGAGGAGAGAGAGATCTTACAATATGATGATCAAATACTTTTTGTACAACTGTAATGATTAGACTAGGGCGTCCGATCCGGAGGGACGGACCAACCCGCAAGTGCTGCTCATCCGCATCGCAAAAAAAGAAGGAAAGAAACCATCGATGCGCCCTTCGCTCTGTACCCATGGCCACCGCAGGTGACACCGCCGGTCCCACCCTCGCCGGTCGACGGCGCTAGCTCCGTAACGTCCGCGTCTCCGCCCCAGCCTCCCCATCCTCTCTCTCTCTCTCTCCCTCTCTTCCGACGTGGCCCAAAGCGCGGCCACCTCCGTGCGCTGTGCATGGCCGGCCCGGCGGCGCCCTAGCTGTGTGGCACAGCCCCCTGGTGGGTGGCCGCTCGCCCGCATCGCGCGCCTCTTTTGAGCCATGCTATTTTAGCAAAAATTAACGACGGGTACACCTCAATCTTTACGGGAACTGTCCCAGTGCCGGAATCAGTAATTCATCTTCACACCGCCACGCCGACACCGTCACCAGCTCCGATTCCTGCCACCGCAGTGCAAGTGCCGCTTGCCGCTTCTCCACATGGAAGCCCGGCGAGGGCGTGCGCCTGACAAGGCACTCGGCCTGCGCCTCAGCGGCGTTGCTGAGCTGCACCGGCGCGAATCCGGCGGAGGCAAGCATGGTCTGCCACGGAGGCATCCTGTCGCCTAGCAACAGGCGCTCCACCCTGGGACGCAGGACGTACTGCTCCAGCCTCGCCACCGCGTCCGCCGGCGCGCCGGCCGCGTCCAGCGACTCGAGGAACGCCGCGCTGGAGCGCACGACGTTGAGCGCGTGATGCGACAGCGGAAGGTCGCCGCGGTGGCATCCGTGGTCGACGCACACCACGACGGCGGGCCGGAGCTGCTTCACGACGCGGAGAGTCGTCGGCAACGGAGTCCCGGAGCCGATGGGGAGGTGAACGGCGACGGTCTCGCCGGGCGCGACGGACAACCCCGTGGGGGGCAACGGGTCAGAGGGGTCGAACGCGACGGCGTTGAACTCGAACGAGATGCCGAGGTCGGCGGCGAAGCGCGTCAGGCCCTCGTGCGTGAGGTGGAGCTCCAAGGGGTGCGCTGACCCCTGCGACACCAATGCCGTCACTTTCAAGCACGGCGGCGGCAGCGGCAGCGGCGAGACGGGCTCTCGGCGCCACTGGAGTGCGAGCTCCTGCATGAGCGGCGCCCACCGACCGCCGAAGCCGACGTCCAAGTCGACGACGTGCACGCGGCGCGCGGCGCCGAGCGCGTCGAGGAGCGCCTGCGTGGACGTGAAGCTGGCGAACTGGACGGTCGGCGACGCGTCCGCCAGTGCCCTGTGCGCGGCGACCTTGAGCGCGACGTCGAGCGGGGTCGAGACGGAGGAGCCGGGCGGGAGGCCCGCGGCGGGCGCGGTCGTGACGAGGAGGCGCAGGAGCGCGTCCCGGAGGTGAGCGGCGGCACGGAGGAGAGGAGGGTGCGGGTGCCCCGGCGCCGTCGGCGGCGAGGGGAGCCGGTAATTGAGCCGCGCCAATATCTCGCGCGAGCCAGTGGAGTCCCCGACGTCGGCGCGGCGTGCCGCCTCGAGGAGCTCGTCCACCGCCGCCGCCCCTGACTCAAGGTCCTCCTCGGCCACGGGTAGCTGGAGCTGCGGCGGCAAGAAGGCCTCGACGGCGGCGGTCTCTTGGCAAGGCGGCGGAGGCAGGAAGGGATCAAAGGCGTCGACTTGGGCGTCGGCGTCCATGATCCAGCGGAGGAAAGAGGTGTCTTGAGACCGCTCGGCGGCTGGTGGCGCGGACATGTCGCCGCCGGAGAGGACGGCCTCCCAGTCCTCGGCGCTGATGGGCGGCGGCTCGGGCGCGGAGGAGGAGGCCAGGGAGGAGGACGTGGGCGGGCTGGGGCTGCGGTTGTAGAGCACGGAGGTGGGCTCTGGCGCCGGCGACCTGCGGTGGCGCTTGACCGGCGAGGCGGAGGCGGCGGCTTCGTCTTGGCCATTTCCGCCGGCGCCGTCGTCCTGGAGCTCGGACATGGGCGGCAGCAAGCTTATCATGAGAAGAGCAGGGCTGGAGTGGACAGCATGAACGGACCAAGGTGGTGTGGGGGAGGATCGGAGTAGTCGGAGTCGGAGGTGATGGTGGTGTTGCTGTTGGTATTGCAAGTTGCAAATTGCAATTGCGAGGTGAGGGAGACAAGACAAGAAGGGATGACGATGGATTAATACGCCGTCACTGTTGCTAATGCTGAATTGCTAATGCCAATGCCTAGGAGGAGTAGGTGGAGCGAGGAGGTGCCTTTTGAGGGGCTTGCGTTGCACCAAATGTGGTGCACGACCGCGGGCCAATGAATGCATGCCTCATTTGATGTAGGGTCGCAACTCAATTCCATGACCCAGACATTATAAATACTAATTTAAAGTGATCTTGTCTTCGCCATGACCAGTCAATTCGCTGGGTGGTTTTTGAGCTGATAAGTTCGGCTGGTGCTAGTTTATTATGAGGGAAAAATATTGTTGGCTGGCTGATAAGTCCTGGCTGAAACCAACAAGCGAACATGCAATATCCCAAATTAATACCATGTATATACTCCTCTCAGTCCAAATTATAAGTCACTTTGATTGTTTTGGTACATCTATTTTACTATAATTGTAGATATTCTAGATACAAAGCAAATTTCATGTACCAAAAAAATTAAAGCGACATATAATTTAGAACAAAAGAGTACTGTATAATATGGAACCGAGAGAGTACTAAATTTGCATCTAAAGTGTGCATATGTCCGCTGTAATTTAAAAGTAAGCAACCAAAGGTACATCTGAATTGCATACATCAACCAAAGTGTGCATGTCCACCGTAAACACTTTAATTTGTGACCAAATTAATGATATGATCCTTTTGTATTCACTTTAATAAATCTTGCAATAAATATTTGAGCAATTAAAGATTTAAATTGGAAAAACTTTGATCCGAAAAGATTTAGATCTCATCAATTACTACAACTATGGTTTATGTCATGTATCCATCTAAGGTCATTTGAAAAAAAAAGAGTGAAAATTTTGGTTTTCAAAATTCAAGAATGTAAAACATATTTTTTGGACCATAAATAATTCCAAAACAAAAGGTCATCAACTATAAAATTGTAGATCTCTTCAAGCTCTATAACTTTATATAAAGTTTGTCTTCATCTTATTCGATTTAGAAAGGCTATGATCTTTTCTTTTTGCTAAAATGGGGCACATTGCTAGCCGCCTTCCCGCCTCTAGAAATATATTTCTAGAAACAGATGGAGTTTCCAATCATCTTTAAAAATGCTTCAATTTCTAGAAGTGGTTAGAAACACTAGTCGCCTTTAGAAGTAGGGGTTTTTAGAGACGATTTGGCTTTCTAACCGTATCTAAAAATAGTGGGCATGTATTTCTATTGGGGGTTGGAAATGCAGAGGCATCTTTTAGAGGCAATTTTTGCCCGAAAAGAGGACGTCCCCACAAAAATCGTTTTTGTGTAGTGCTATATAGCACTTTTGACATTATTAATATTGGAGAGAAAAAACTAACTTGAGATATTAATGCATGACGTGTGTTAGAATCAAAATATTCAAGAATTTGTCTCCGGCGCCTCCTACGAAATACATATGTAGGTCTAATAGATGATCACCTATCTATTTGTATCGCTGGAGAGGAGCTCGTGGTGTCGATGGAAACAACGACTGATGACTTGACAACCTGCCTGTTTGGGTTGAGCTAATATATACTCCATGTACATGCTTTGCCCTTGACATCACAACCGAATAAGTTTGACCAAATTTATATAATAAAACAATAATATTTATGACATCATATAAGTATTATTAGATTTTTCATTAATTATATTTTTATAGTATATATATTTGATGTCATAAGACTTTGTAATTTAGTCAAACTTAAGATGTTTTGACTCTATGTGATAATTGAAATGACTTATAATTTAAAATGGATGAAGTAATTGTTTACACTGCAGCATGACAGCATGTCACGATCCAGTTATATATATTGTTTATAACTCTAACAGTCTAGTCATGAGATGGTCATCAGCCTATCCCAATTAATTACTTTAATCATCCATCGTAATATATATATATATGAGCTGCTGCCAAAGTCTTGAGTTAAGGACGACGGCGCATGCGGTTGTATCTATCTATCTATCTATCTATATATATATATATATATATATATATATATATAAGGACTACTACTCTCTCTATAGGTATATATATATATATATATATATATATATATATATATATATATATATATATATATATATATATATATATATATATATATATATATATATATATATATATATATATATATATATATATATATATATATATATATATATAACTACTATCCTATAGGTAGCTATAAAATAACTTATTCTGTAGCTACTTTGAGTTACGATAACTATTATGTTAATTTACGAGATTATAGTAACTCATTACTAAGTGATTTACTATAACGTTATGGTAAATATCCCTATGTGTTATAGTAACCCAACTATCGTAAATATATATTGACATTATTGTAAATTAGTATATAAAATTATTGTAAATTGAGGTGGCTACTAAATAACTTATTTTATAGCTGGCTATTGGATATACTCTCTCTATATATATATATATATGGTGAGTTTTCTATACTCTCAGGAGTAGTTACTCCCACTAGGATTGGGTACATGTCCACCATCAAAACCCGCTAAGTACTACTCTTTTTGGCTAACTGCAGTGCCCGCTTGCATGCGCACGAAGAGACCACTAGACGTTACACGTCCATATTTTGTGGCGTGGGTTTGTTAGCTTCTTTTAAATAAAGTGGATACTAAATTCATTACTGTCGTATATACTTTTTGTGTGAATAAAGTATGGACACATACTTAATAAGAAAATGAGTATATTTGTATACTTGTACTTGGGAGTATATCCATATCCTCAGGGGATTATTTTAGTATATCCATATACTTGGGTGTGTATATCCATATGCTTGGGCGTATATTTGGGAGTACGTCCATATACTCATGGAATTTTATTATAGAGTATACGAACCGTTTTTAGGAGAAAAAATAGTATGCTAGTACGTGGACATACTTTTTTGACACGAGTATCAGTACACAAACATTGACACGATCGATGCTAGTATGCGTACATACTTTTGACAGGAGTTAGTATTAGTACATACTCTATCTAGAATGTACATGTAGATACTTTTTTGATAAATGAGTATATGTATATATATATATGTAGATACACGGAAGCATGCTTAGTATATGTACATACTTTTTTGACGAAGGAGTATATGTATATATAGATACCTTTCCTTGGACAGGAGTATCGGTTCATACATTATTTACGAGTATATTATTTTACTACTAGTATTTATCTCTTTGCTTTTGATCGTCGGTGCACCGAATGCTTCGTGGTCGTCGCTGGGATGAACCATGGACACGCGGACCGGCGGACGACATAGGTGAATGCAGACGTAGCTTCCTCGAGATGCAATCTGCTACCTGGTTCATAAAGAATATAAATGAGAAACTACGGCAAAAGTTGAGGCCACAAGTTTAGTTTGGAATAAACAAATCGATTACTGCAGTAAGGATTATGACTTTCTCAACTATACCTGGATCCCATCGACGGATGTTCCTAATCACAGAGAGAGAAATTAAATGTGATGCCTAGGCATCACATATCTGCATGCCATGTTTCCTATCAGCTAGGGGTGATGCCAGCAGATGAATTAGGGGAGCAACTCGAGGACCTGAATTTAATACTGGTAAGAAAGGAAATAATCAGAGCGTGTTCGAGTAGTTATTAATGTATACGTATACTACTTTTTGCTAATTTGGATATGTAAGTCTGTTTACCTGATTGTCTGGTGCTGGTGGCCAGTCGCCGCCGCCAGAGAAGAGACGCCAGCCTCGTATCCATCTCAGCAGCCTATAGCCGTCGCCGAAGAAAGCGGGTGCCGCCTAGTGATGAAACGAGAGAAGGTTTTTGCCCTTCCACTGATTTAGTCGGCAGAGATCACAAAATCGACGTCGTCCCCATCACCTACTGTGTTCATATCAACGTGAATGAATCAGAGATTAATCTTGCCTCGTTAAATGATTACCTTTACCCACGGGGAGATTTGGAGGGTTCGTGCTCCACCATGAATGGAGGGCGGCCGCAGGTCAGTTTCCGTCCCGATGGGAAAGCGACGGATGCGAAGGAGCAGATCTGATAGGTATGTATTTATATTCAAAATATACTAACGGGTCCGCTTCTTTAACCCGCTAAGGAAACCCCGGCACCACGTTAGGATGCTCGGTCTTGTGTAAATCTAGGTGGGAGTAGTTACTCCTAGGGAGTAGAATTTTTTATCATATATATATATATAATTTTCCATATATATATATATAATTTTGAGGGATATCTTTTCCTATTTAGCAAAATATTTTTTTCAGCAGGATTTTAGCTACATATGAGCTAGTATACAGTATACTACGGAACTGGTTCTTAGAGACAGTCAAAATTGATTTGTAAAGGTGGTTGTGTGAACAATCTCGCAAGGACCTATAGAAATCAAGAATTTATAGGACATTTTTCTAACTGTCCCTAAAAATATATTTTCGGAGGAACATCAATTGTCTCTATAAATCAATTTTATGGGTGGGTGACATTGCCCGACATCTATAGAAATTCATCTATCAGAGTAGTTGGAAACATAAGATGCATCTAAAAATGCATTTGCATGTGTGGTTGGGAAGACCATCCGTTCCTGAATACATTTTTCATTTTTAAATGTTTTTCTATTTGGTTGTGTAATTTATATATAATAGATTTTCTAAAGACATAAATTCACATACAAGCCATCAGGCCTATAAGTTCGCATACAAGTAATATTGTAAATCCACATACAAATAGTCTCATAAATCCACGTTCAAATCATCTCATAAATTCACATATAAGTAATTTCATAAAATCCATATACATGTTCTTTTATGAAGGAGTAATCATATTTATAATTTTTCATTTTTT